TTATCGTAGGGAAAAGGTGTCAATGAAAATATAATTCTACATAAAATTTCACTATAAGTCTCCGAACAAACGAAATCTGTATCTATAACAGATAACTAAAACAGAAGAAATCCAAATGCTTGAAATTTTAAGAAAAAAAAGTGCATTTGTATATATTATTGTAGGTTATGTTCGGAATCTGGCAAAATTAACCATAAAACTTCGGGTCAGAGGAAAGTTTGGAAAGGAGAAAATATTCTATATCAAATTTCATTTGAAGTCTTAGAACAAAGGAAATTTGTATCTCTAACAGGTATCCATGAAAGATGCGATTCAAAGTTGGTATTGCAAAGGAAATAAAAATTCATATAGATTTTTGAGGTTATGTCGGAAAATGGATAACATGGCCCAAAATATGTCATCTTACGGGAAATATGTCAATGGAAGAATTTTTCTACATCGAATTTCACTATAGGTCTTCGAGCAAACCGAATCTGTATCTACAATATTTCGATATGAAATTGCGGACTCAAATGTAACTAAGCGCATCGAGAAAACAACTTCCAATTATCATACCCTTTATACTCACCATTAATTTTTCCTCTCCATTTTGAAATTGTATTTTATTAAAAAAATATTATTGTTGTTGTTTTCTATGTAATAATTGTTTCTCAGTTTTATTTCTATGTATGAACTTCTAAAAACTATACAATATTTTATTTTGTATTTCTTTGTTCTTGTTGATTTTTATTTGTATTCCATTGTTGTTGGTTTTTGTTTTGGGTTTATTTTATAATTAATCATTTCAATATGTATATCATGTTGTGTGTTTTTGTTATCATAATAATATGTTTATTTGTTTTTTTGGTTTAAATCTAAAAATATGGAAATGTATTTAATGATTAGAGTGTAATGGTGGCTGGTGTATACTATAACCCTCTAAGTCATCATCATTATTAGTATTTTTTTTTTTTCTTTTTGCAAAAAAAAACTTGTAAAGTAAGACTAGACCAATTTTAAAATTATTAAATTTAAACAAAATTGTTAATAAAAATTAATAACAACCAAAAGTTAGTATAGAACCTCTAGTTATTGCACTTAATAAAAAAAGAAAGTCCTTCATTTGTTTTCAGTTTCTTGTTTGGCTAAAGGAAAGAAAGTCTAACGAAATTTGTTATTGTTTTTGGCACACGATTCGAACTTAAACTAAAAATTGCAATCACAACAAAAATGCTAAAATTAATTAAAAATAAATAAATATTGCACTTAATTTATTAAATCGAAATTTCAATACGATGTTTCAAACAAAAGCTTAAAAATATATTATAATCTGTGGTGGTGCCTGGACCTACACATAGCTTAAATTTAAATATGTTTCGATCATTAATGCGAACGTATAGATAGATAGTTTTGCTCTTTGAGAGTCTTTTTGTTTATTTTTCTCCTTTATTTTTTTTCTTTTGCTGCAGTTAGTTGTATTTGTGTTTTTTGTTAAGCTGTTTACATAAAATTAATCAACAAAGTTATCAGTTTTCATTTCTATAAGATTATTTTTGTTAAATGTTTTACCTTTTTTAAATATATCTCAGTTATAGCTACTAAACTATGCCAGGAGATTTAGTTTGAGAGAGAGAGAGAGAGACAGGGAGAGGATTTTTGGGGAGAAAAGAAACAGAAATGTTTGAAATGTAAAGAAAACCCGGCATTTGTATATATTTGTAGGTTAATTTCAAAAAACATCAAAATTTTCCAGAATTCTTCGTCATAGAGAAAAGGTGTCAATGGGAATATTATTCTCTATAAAAATTTAATATGAGACTCGGAACAAAGAAAATCTGTATCTCTTAGAGGGACACACGAAAAATCAAATCCAAATGTTGTTCATATAAGTAAAACTGCTGCTTGTATATTTTTTTAGGTTAATTCGGAAATATGGCAAAATCGCCCACAATACTTCGGCGTAGGGGAAAGGTGTCAATGAAAATATTATTCTACATTGAATTTCACTATAAGTCTCTTAACAAAGGAAATCTATATCTGTAACAGATATATAAAACAGAAGAGATTCAATATTCGGCTACGTAAACAAAAGTGGCAATTTGTTAATATTTTTAGGTTAATTCCGAAATAGAGCGAAATCTCTTATATTATGTCACCCTATGGGAAAGGTGTCAATGGAAATATTATTCTACGTCGAATTTCACTATAAGTCTCGGAACAAAAGAAATCTGTATCTATGCCAGGTATCAACAAAAGATGGGACCCAAATGTTGTTCATATAAACAAATCAGCTTTTGGTATATATATTTAGGTTAATTTCGAAACCGGGCAAAATCACCCATAATACTTGGTCACAGAGAAAAGTTCTCAATGGAAATATTATTCTACGTCGAATTTCACTATAAGCCTCCGAACAAAAGAAATCTGTATCTATAACATATAACTAAAACAGAAGAGATCAAAAATTTAGCTCGGTAAAGAAAGCCGCTACTTGTTAATATTTTTAGGTTAATTCCGAAATAGGGCAAAATCTCCCATATTATAACGTCTTAGGGAAAAATTGTTAATGAAAATATTATTCTATATTAAATTTTAGTATAAGTTCCGGAACAAAGAAAGTCTGTATCTATATCAGGTATCAATACCAAATAGGATCCAAATGTTGGCCATCAACACAATATTGCTATTTGTATATAGTTTTAGGTTATGTTCGAAATCGGGCCAAATCGCCCATAATACTTGGTCAAAGGGAAAAGGTCTCAATGGAAATATTATTCTACGTCGAATTTCACTATAAGACTCCGAACATAAGAAATCTGTATCTATGTCAGGTAACAACAAAAGAGGGGACCCAAATGTTGGTCATATAAACAACACTCCTATTTGTATATGTTTTTAGGTTAAATCGGGCAAAATTACCAATAATACTTGATCACAGGGGAAGAGTGTCAATGGAAATATGATTCTACATCGAATTTCACTATATGCCTCCGAACAAATGAAATCTGTATCTATATCAGGTATTTACAAAACATGGGACCCAAATGTTTGCCATATAAACAAAACTCCTATTTTTATATATTTTTTTGGTTAATTTCGAAATCGGACAAAATCACCCACAATACCTGGTCATAGGGAAAAGGTCTCAATGGAAATATTATTCTACGTCGAATTTCACTGTAAGACTCCGATCAAACGAAATGTGTAACTCTTACATGTTTTAACGAAAAATGAGATCCAATTATTGGTCATATAAACATATCTGATATTTGTATATGTTTTTAGGTTAATTACGAAATCGGGCAAAATCACCCATAATACTTGGTCATAGGGGAAGCGTGTCAATGGAAATATTATTCTACGTCGAATTTTATTATAAGTCTCCGATCGTAAGAAATCTGTATCTTTGTCAGGTATCAACAAAAGAAGGGACCCAAATGTTAGTCATATAAACAAAACTCCTATTTGTATAATTTTTTAGGTTAATTTGGAAATCAGTCATAATTACCCAAAATACTTGGTCATAGGGGAAAAGTGTCAATGAAAATATGATTCTACATCGAATTTCACCATACGTCTTCGAACAAATGAAATCTGTATCTATATCAGATATTAACAAAAGATGGGACCCAAATGTTGGCCATACATACAAAGCTGCTTTTTGTATATATTTTTAAGTTAATTTCAAAATAGGTAAAAATTACATAAATTATGTCACCCTAGGGGGAAGATGTCAGTAGAAATATTATTCTACGTCGAATTTTATTATAAGTCTCCGAACAAAGGAATTCTATATCTATATCAGGTATCAATGAAAAATGAGATCCAAATGTTGGTTATTTAAGCAAAACTGATATTTATATATAATTTTAGGTTAATTCCGAGATTTGGCAAAATCACCCACAATACTTCATCGTACGGGAAAGGTCTCAATGAAAATATTATTCTACATCGAATTTCACTATAAGTCTCCGAACAAAAGAAATCTATATCCCTTACGGGTATCAACGGAAAATGAGATGCAAATATTGGACGTATAAACAAAATTGCTATTTATATATTTTTTAGGTTATTTCGAAATCGGTCAAAATTACCCATAAAACTTCGTCGTAGAGGAAAGTTTGCAAAGACGAATATATTCTATATCGAATTTTATTGGAAGTCTGGGAACAAAAGAAATTTGTATCTAAAACAGATTATCAAGAAAATCACGAATAAATTTGGGATTACAAAGGAAATAATAATTCATAAGGATTTTTAAGGTTAGGTCGGAAAATAGATAAAATGTTCCTAAATATTTCATCGTAGCAGAAATATGTCAATGACAAAATTATTCAGTATCGAATTTCACTTTAGATCCTCTCTCTCTTCTCTCTCTCTCTCCAAAAAAATCTCCATAATCTCAAAAGGATTTCTTTTTGCTGAATGTCACATCTAACATAGAGAGGAGAGAATTAATTTTTTTTTGTTATTTCTCCATTTAATATCTTCAGTGTAGTGTTTGTAATAGTAGTTGTTTGTTATTATTGTTGTTAGTTAGTTGGTGTGTGTGAGTGAGTGAGTTAGCGATTAGGTGAGAGTGAATTATCATTCAATTTAAAAATTATAAAATACTTTTTTTCAGCATCATCATCAGTTATGTATATATTGTCTGTGTGTGGATTTTACAACTAAAAAATTAAAACTTTGCTGTTGTTGTTATTGTTGTTGTTTTTGTTATCAAATTTGCCATCCATAAGTGTTTCTAACATTAAGTATGGGGGGTGCTTTTTTATTATAGGTTATATATATGTATGTATTTTGTTGTTATAATTATTATTTTTGTTGTTGTTGTTGGTTTCTTTGTTATTATCATCATCATTGTTGGCTCTTTTAAAAAAAGAGACTCGATTTGGGTCTTGGAAGAGATTTTTTTGTTTGCAACGTTTTTGTTTTTTTCTTTTAGGAGGGGGGATTATGTGTTGTTTTTGTTTTTAAAAATGGCTGACATTTTGTTGTTTGTTATTGTGTGTTGTTCTTGTTTAAAGTAACTGGGCAATGACCGGCTCAATTAAGCACATATGCTCGGCACCACGGACGGGTAAACGATTCAAACAAAAATGCCTAATCATATCGGGTACCGTCTCAAATGGCCGACTGAATTGTCCCAATATGTATTGGCCGCATTCATTGCGTTGTATGCGCATGTGCATAAAGCCTTTGGCTCCCCTGAAAGTAGGCAATGGAAAAATTCATCATTAATTAAAAATTGCATAATTAATTAAATTACCACCACTCACTTTAAGGACAATGAATAATCCTGTTTGGTAGATTCACAATTGCGCACCAAAAAACTACCCTCCGCCAGGGGGCGTAGAGTGGTTTCCGCTTCAATTCGGGTTATGGCACCATGATACCATCTGGAGGAGAAAAATACAATTTAATTAAAAAAAATTAAAAATTATTTTTCTTTTTTAATTTTAAAAAATTTTTCTACTTACCCCTGCCTCTCCAGTGGTATGGACACATCGATTAGATCCACAGCATTGGCAAATCCTTGATTTAGATTTAAATTTAGCTCCTTATTATTGCTGAGGCCACGCAAATCTAAGCTGCCGAATTTATTGTTGGTTTGTCGTGGCTCATTGAGATTAAGGGTTAGGTTCTGGCGGAACATGGCAGAATCTGTAAAAAAAAACAACACAAAATAGAATCTCAGTAAAAAATTAAAAATCTAAATTCTCCACCCCTATATAAAATAGAAACAATTGTGGTCAATTGCATATCCTAGCCCAGTGCTGCGGCAAGGCATTCAAGTGGAAATGGACATTAATGGGAAAAAATAAAAAAAATTGAAAAACTGCATACAGATGTTCATCTGATTATGGTGTAATGGGAAATGGAGCAAAACAAACATCGAGAAAGGGAAATGCAACAGAATGAAAACCTTTATTGTTGCTAGTTGTGGCATGCCACACGTTCGGACTTAATTATTCTATGATGTTTTGTTTAATATCGAAAGGGAAGGTTTAATTAGAAATAGAAATAGAATAGAGGTGTGGGATCGATAGAGATTTTATGTTATCACAATTGAACGCTTTTTTAAGGTTCGAAAAAGGACTTAAATAGGAGGATATTTAGTGAATTTTTAAATTGCATTTTTCCAAAGGCGTAGATTTTTAAAATAATTTTTTTTCAAGGCCTATCCAAGGTGTAGATTTTTTAAATAATATTTTTTCAAGGCCTATCCAAGGTGTAGATTTTTTAAATAATATTTTTTCAAGGCCTATCCAAGGTGTAGATTTTTAAAATAATTTTTTTCCAAGGCCTATCCAAGGCGTAGATTTTTAAAATAATTTTTTTCCAAGGCCTATCCAAGGCGTAGATTTTTAAAATAATTTTTTTCCAAGGCCTATCCAAGGCGTAGATTTTTAAAATAATTTTTTTCCAAGGCCTATCCAAGGCGTGGATTTTTAAAATAATTTTTTTCCAAGGCCTATCCAAGGCGTAGATTTTTAAAATAATTTTTTTCCAAGGCCTATCCAAGGCGTAGATTTTTAAAATAATTTTTTTCCAAGGCCTATCCAAGGCGTAGATTTTTAAAATAATTTTTTTCCAAGGCCTATCCAAGGCGTAGATTTTTAAAATAATTTTTTTCCAAGGCCTATCCAAGGCGTAGATTTTTAAAATAATTTTTTTCAAAGGCCTATCCAAGGCGTAGATTTTTAAAATAATTTTTTTCCAAGGCCTATCTAAGGCGTAGATTGTTTTCAAAGCTTATGGGGACCTGACAAAAATTTTCCATAGCAAAAAAGTCTTTCTCAGGAGACCTGACAAAATTTTTCCATAGCAAAAAAAGTCTTCCTCGGGGGACAAGAGGTTTTTTTCTATAGAAAAAATTCTTATTCAGGCGACCTGAGGAATTTTTTCTATAAAAAAGTCTTCCTTAGCAGACCTAAGGAATTTGTGTCTATAGAAAAAAAGTTTTCTTTAGAAACCTTAGAAATTTTTTCCCATAGAAAAAAGTCTTCCTTAGGACACCTAAGGAATTTTTTCTATAGAAAAAAAAATCTTCCTCAGGTCAGGTCCCTAGACAATTTTTTTTTTTTTTTTTTTTTGTCAGGGGCCAGAGGATTTTAGTTTTCGAAAAAATTGTTACTCATGGGCCTGAGGATCTTTTTCGGGCCAGAGGCATTTTGTCTATAAATAGTGTTTTTTAGGGGACCTGAGGATTTTTTTTTTTTTTTTTTTTGTAGAAATATTTTTTGTACATCCCACAATTTCCCTTGAAATAAATACTCACCTAACTTCATGCCGGTTTTATTGTCATCTCTCATCGAATGACTGGAGGATGCCTGGGATATGCCACTCGATTCAGTACTGTGCATCATCAGATTATTAATTTCCGCTTGATTGGCCCTTAGGCGGCGTCTCAGCTTCGGCATATCGAAGGGCAAGTCACCCAAATCCACCGAGGTGGCACTGCCCGATGTGCAGGCGTCCTAAAGGAAACACACAAAATTAATTACACCCCAAATTTTGTAAATCACCCTTTCACTCACCTGCTGCAGCGTTTTTCGCCTTCGCAATTTTGGCATATCAAAGGGTAGATCCCTCAAATCCTGTGGCAGACCCACACTACTACTCATCGCACCCACCGCACTAATATCACTGTGATTATTACCACCCTTATCATTGGGCGGGAAATTCAATGTGGGTAAGGTGAATTTTTGCAGACCCATCAAAGGTTTACCATCCTCCCGCGAGTGGAGCGATATGCCACTGTCTGAACCCAAAATTTCATCGGTAAGCTGCATTAGGGTTTTGTTGGCCGGTGGTCTTCGTTTTTTCAAAGCATCGATTTGTAGCTGAGGTGTGGGTCGCATATTTTCTCTATCCTGTAATTGTTGTTGCTGTGAGGACAATTGTTGCTGCTGTTGTTGTTGTTGCGACTGCTGCTGCTGACCAACTGCCGGCCCGCCACCATTATCCTCGGGCGTTACATTCTGCGTCTTATTCTGTTCAGACAACTCGGAGGCCGGTTCTTGGGACGATTTGTCCGATATGGGACTGAGGATATGCAATTTGGAATGTATCACCACGGGTGCTCTCAGGGGAAAAGCCACACTCGAACTGCCAGATTCAGAGCTATGTGAACTCAACGAGGTCGAGTGCCTTGACTCTGAACTGGATGTGCTACGATTGCCTTCGCTCGTGCTCGAGCGCAACGATTCCATGCTGCCACCACTACTCGATGTGGCTATGCTCTCGGTCGAGGAGTAGTTGTGCGTCCTGCGACTGCCATTGCCAACATGGTGGTGGTGGTGATGGTGGTGGGCAGACGAGGAGGACGAGGCATGGCTTTTGCGCAGCTCCAGCACCCGCCCCGACTCCAAGACAAAGGAACGTGGTCGGCTGCGGGACCTAGAGCTGCCGGCGCTCAAATGATTGGCGCCACCCTGATGCATGGCCGATGACAGATGATGATGGTGGCTGTGACTGTTATGGTGTTGTTGTTGTTGATGGTGTTGGTGAATAATGGAAGATGGTGGATTTACATAGGCGCTATCGTTGAGGCTGTTCTCATTGCTGGTGGCTAGCGAGGACACAGTGGCCTGCTGCTGGGACGACTGACGCCCCAGATTCGACTGCAGTGGAAGACGTAGATCTCGCAAACGTGGATGGGCCGGATTCGATGATGGCAGGTTGGGTGCACTTCGTATGCTGTTCATAAAAAAACGCTCATGCTTGCCGGGAAACTTCATGGGCAGTGGCGCTGTGGATGGAGGCGATGGTGTATAGCCGCGCATGGGCAGCTGTGAGCTGGACGTTGTGGGATTGTTCTGTTGATCCACTTCGGGTTCCCGTATGTGGACATTGTTCAAGTCTGTGCTAAGGCCGGAAATGTTGGAGGCCAGTATCTGGTCCGTGCTGCGATTGGCCGCTTGGCCAACGGTCAGGGGCGAACCACTGCCACTGTTGTTGCCACCCGAATTGGAGGCCTGATCCTGGATGGCTTGATTTTTGGAGTTCTTCAAACGTTTGCCATCCAGGCGGCTTTTGTGGGACTTGGAGCTGCGGCTTTCCGTCTTACCGGTGGTGGGCGGAACATTGCCGTTGTTGAGTTGCAGCAACACCGAGTGGTTGGTAATGCGATCCACTTCATCCAAGTCATCATCGGACTTGGCAATCTTACAATCGAAAGCGGTTTCATAAATTTGACGTGTACGACCCGACATATCGTCTTCGAGTTCGGCCAGTGTCGAGTTAACTTCGTCCAAGGCGTTATCGGATTGGGCCAAACTGCTCGAGTCGAGGATGCTACGTGAGCTGGTGTGGTTCAAATGCTTGGAGTCCGGAGCACAATCGTCACACTCATGCACCCCATGGGGATGGACATAGAAGATGCTGCGTGGCCGGAAATACTCATCTATATCGTCACCGATAGAGGGAGCAACACAGGCACAAACTGCAGCCGGTCCTAGCAGTCTATGCGGTGGCATTGACGGTGTCGTTTCGGGGAAGTTGCCACAATTCAAATCCTCGGAAGCTTCTTGGCAAATGTTGCCGTAATCGGCGGCGGCTGGTATCAAAGGTTGGACGTTACAGGTTTTGCGTACCAGGGCTAGGGCGCGGGCATGCCATTCACGCCGCTTCAAGCACTCACTGCAATCGCTTTCCTCGGAGGTGGTGGTGGAGGGCGAATCACAACGGATAATGTGTACACCGTCTTCGGTAAAGGAGTAACGTTTGTTTGTATCGTCCTCGTCGTCTTCGGCGTCGTGATCGTCGGCGTGGTGAGAGGCGTTTGGTAAAACGGTATTGGTAGTGGTTGTTGCCTCGGTTATATCAAATTCGTCTTCCTGTTCGTCACGTTCGTTGTGCTCGGGGGGCACATCTAAACTGGTACTCTTACGATAAGGTTGTCCTGGTTGGGCATAGAGTTGGTTGATGGGTGGTGGTGGTTCGGAGACTGTAGATTGGCGACTTTTTTGTTTGGCCTCTTTGTCGGTAAGGACTTGAGAGGATCCCAAGGCCCCGGCTTCTTTGGATTTTAGTAAGTCGGAGTAGTAATAGGGTGAGGGGTTACGTTTGCTGCCGTATTCCGACTGCGATGTGGTGAGTTTTCGTGGACTACGATTTGTGGCCGAGGGTAAGGGCTTCACCAAATCATCCGAAATGCTATCGGGTGAATTTAAATCAGGAACTTTTACAGAGTGATTGTCGTCGTCTTCATCATCTGAGGATTTGGGTGCAGAAGAATCTGTGGGAAATTGAAAAGAGAGAGGGAAAGGGAAAAGAGAGAGAATAAAGGGAGAGAGAGAACATAGAGTGTTATAAGTTTCTGCTGTATAAAATCAAACAAAAATCCATTTCATGGCTGAGTGACTATCACACCAAACCTGCTGCAGGAAAATAATTAAATTTCCATACCACAGCCCAGGTGGAGCAGATAGACAGACAGCCATCCAGCCCATGGGGCTGCCAACCTGCAACCAAATGTAATTTTTTTCCTGCAGTTGTTAATGGTTAAGTGAAAGTTGATTAAAGTAGTCGGAGGGAAAAACTTTGTTAAAGAGTTTCCCAAGCCATTGAATCAGGGCAGAGATGGAAATTAGAGGGAGAGATAATCTCGGTATTCTACCAGCCATCAGCTGGCCAGTAGCCATTGTGTAAAGGAGAATATAAAAAAAGTTCTTTGGAGAGCATAAAAAATAATCTCTGGCCTCATGTGTAACTAATTGCCAATTGTTCGGAAATTCGACTCAATGAAGAGTTAGAAGGCCACACGATTGATGGCTGTGTTGAAAGGGGAAGTTCGTGATTGATTCCTCCAACTTTTTTGTTTTGTTGTATTTTTTTTTCTTTGCTTCGTAAAGGGTCACTTCCACCCGACCTCTTACCCAACTCACCTGAGCTGTAATTGCTGCGTTTATCCTTCTCCTTGGTTTGAGGAGTTGTTAATGTTTGCGGATTATTGCCAGTTGTTGTTGCTGGTTGTTTAGTTTGCTGTTGTAATGTTTGAGAAGACTGTTGTTGTGACTGCTGCTGTGAGGAAGGCCGTTTAGTTTGGGCCCTCCGCTTGGCCTTCTTGTGATAGACTTTTTTGTGGCGTTTCGTATCTTTGGGATCCGAATAACCTTCAATGAGTTTGACGGATGCCTGTTTTATGGCCGATGTATGGCTGTGTATGGTCGAGGTTAGGCCAGCGGGTAAGGGTGGTGGTAAGGGGGCGCCAGATGTATTCAAAGCTCCTCCACCTACTCCTGATGCAGTTCCACTATTAAGGGTTGCAGAATTGTTATTTGTGATTACAACAGCCTGTGACGATGCTGACGACGGATGTGGTAAACGTTGCTGTGTCTGGCTACGTAGAGATTTTTTCTGATGCTGTTGTTGTTGCTGCTGTTGCTGAAGAGTTTGTGTGGTCTGTGCAGCATGGACCCCAACTGGTTGGGTAGGCAAAGTACTGTGGGCCACAGAGCCAGAAGCTACAGTATTCGGTTCGTTGTTGTTGTTGGTGGTGGTGTTGCTGGCATTTGCCGCCACTAGTTGGGCATTGACTCTGGAGGGTAAAGTCGATAAGGGAGCCGGTGGTGGTGGTATCTGAGGCTCAGATTGTTGCTGCTGCTGTTGTTGCTGTTGGAGCTCAGCAAAGGTTAGCTGTAATGAATGCAAGAGAAGAAAATAAATAATTTTGTAAGGAGAAAAAAAACGATATTTTACTAAATAATAATTAAAACGCTGACGGGCCTAACGAAATTTAGCCAGAAGCGGATAATTTTGTCATTAAAAATATAAAAAATGGCATTAAGAAAAAATTGCTCTTACACGTTATTTAGGATTCTCATTGGATAGCAATTATTTTTACCAAAAATAATGAATATGGGTCCATGCTTTGAGAAAGCCCTTATATAAAGGTACCTCCGAACTTTTGTTTTTTTGAGAATTTCTGACAAGTTTCTTAACCTAATTGCCTGTTATTTTATATTTTGGATTTCCGTTGGCTACAAATATCCTCCTTCTTAAAATTATCAATATAGGTCCACCTTTTAGGGTAGTTCCATATAAAGGTACCTTCCGATTTTTTAGGTATTTTTGAAGATTTCTGGTACGTTTCTTAACCGAATTGGCTCTAACTTGCTATTTTGGATTCTCATGGAGTCCCAAATCTTCCTACCAAAAAAATATTAATATGGATTCAAATTTAGGTGTAGCCTCCATATAACCCTAGCTCCTTCAAATTTCGGAATTTGAGGGAGCTTGGATAAGTTTTTTAACTGAATTGCCCTTTAATTTGATATTTTGGGTTGGCTGGCAAATCATCCTACCAAAAATGATCAATATTGATCCAGGTATGGGTTCAGCCCCCTTATAAAGGTACTTCCCGATTTGCGGAATTTGGGGGAGCTTGGGGATGTTTTTCAACCGAATTGGCTATAATTTAATATATAGGGTTCTAATTTGCTGGCAAATCTTTCCACAAGAAATTATCAATATTGATCCATGTTTAGGTTCAGCCCCCATTATAAAGGTATCTTTCGATTTGCGGGATTTGGGGGAGTTTGGTCATGTTTTTCAACGGAATTGGCTCAAATTTGATATTTTGGGTACTCGTAGGCTGGAAAATCTTCCTACGAAAAATTATCAATATATGTCTACTTTTAGCTATAGCTCCCACATATCGGTACCACCAAAATTTCGAAATTTGGGAGAGCTTGGACAAGTTTTTCAACCGAATTGGCTCTAATTTGATATTTGTGGTTCTCATTAGCTGCCAAATTTTCCTACCGAAAACAATCAATATAGGTCCACATTTAGGTATAGCCTACATACAACGGTACCTCCGAATTTTCGATATATTGAAGATTTCGAGCATGTTTTTCAAACCGAATGGACTCAAATTTTGTATTTGGGGTTCTCATGGTGTCAATAAATTTTCCACCAAAAATTATAAATATTGGTTCATGTTTTGTTATTGGCCCCATTAAGGGTCCCGCAACATTTTCGGCATTTTGAAGGTCTTAGCCGCATTTTCCCTACCGAAGTGGTTGTGATTTGACATTCAAGGATCTTGGAGGGTTAAAAACTTCTGCGCATAAAATGTTTAATATTGGTCCACATTTTGATATAGCTCCCATCTAAAGGTCCCACCCCATTTAAGGTTTTTGATGGTTTCAATTGCCTTTTTCCACCGAAGAGGCTGTCATTTTGGCATTCAGGATTCTTGGAGAGTTAAAAACTTATTCGCAATCAATTTTTAATATTGGTCCCCATTTTGGTATAGGTCTCATATAAAGGTCCCGCTCCATTTGAGGTTATTTGATGGTTTTAGTCGCATTTTCCCCACCGAAATGGCTACAAGTTGCCATTCAGGGTTTTGGGAGGGTTAAAAACTTCTTCGCAGAAAATATTTAATATTGGTCCTCTATTTATTGTAGCTTCCAGATAAAGGACCGCCTCAATTTTCGGAATTTTTAAGGCAAAATCCACATTTACCTACCGAAGTGGCTTTCGGAATTCAGGGTTCTTGAGAAGTTAACTGCTTCTTTGCAGAATTTTTTTTATATATGTCAGTATTCTGATATAGCCCTCATATAAAAAAAAATATTTAATATATTTTCCCCACAGGTGTATGTTTTGATGGACCTTAATTGCCCGCCCGAAGTACTTTTAACTTGACATTTCAGGTTCTTAGATGGTCAGGGATGCCTTGAAGTCCTCTTGTATGGTGTAGGGTATCCTGTAGTCAGTTTCGTCCCACTTTGGTATTTTTCTTACTGGTTTGTAAACGAAAAAGCTACCAAATTAACTAAAAATAATCTGCAACCGCCCCCTTGACCCCCTGCCATCCTCTCCCCCTCTCTTTCACGCTATGGAGGTCACATCGTTACTTAGTGGCGCAAAAAAAAATAAGTAAAACAAACCGCTTTTGGGGAAAAATTATGCCTTTAGCAAACTCATTAACACTGCTTTATGTGGCACATAGCGTAAAATGTTACTGCTGCAGAGACAACGTTTGGAATTTTTTTTTGCCTGGAGTTAGGCTACATACATACTCTCATACATACACACACACACACTCATAAATAAGTGGAAACCATTAAAATCATTTTTTCCTTTCAATTTACCATGATAATAACAATAATGCATAGAAGGAAGGAAGTAGGTAAGTTTTTAATAAAACCATGCCTGGAAGGCTATCACATTTTTCTAGTTTCATAGCCATAGATAACTCATTAAAAAAAATCGCTGGCATAACTAAAAATATTTATTTTACTTAATAGGATGAGAAAAGCGTATTTTAATCAGAGTGATTATTTTAATAACTAAGAGAGGGAAGAAGATGGAAATTGAATTTATTTTTTATATAGAAAATAAATTGAATTTCCTTGAGAGAATTTCCCTGAAGGTAGAGGATTAAAATTTTATTTTTTTATTTTATTTTTATAATAAATATTTCCTTATTAAACTATCAATGAATTTAATAATGGTATTTTTGGTTAATCTCTATTTCCCTTACGCCTAAAAGTATGCTTTATTTCTGCAAAGGCATTCCCTTCTCTACAAACCACCTTCTTTAAACTATTCCTTATAAATTATAGACTTTGTTAGGCCTTGAAATCTATATTTGTATTTAAAAAAGTTCATAAAATGAGTAAGTAATCTATGTATGCATGTATGTATGTCTATTTATAATCACCCATTTGCAATAAATATCAATTTTTAATTATATGTCACAGATACACAGGTTTTACATGTCTTCTAGACATAATAATATCATACGATATCATTGTATTTGTTTAAAATTTATTACAGGAATGGAAAACATGTTACTACAGTTACTCCTCTTCCAGTGACACTCTCTCTCTCTCCTTACCACTCCTTTCCCTCTCTCACTCTTTCGTATAATTTATATTCATATTGAAAATTATTGCAATTAAAATGAAAAATTGTCTGGCAGGCAGATAGACATTTTCTACACAAAGTAGATATTATAGACTTCGGGGTGTCATTCTATTATTGAGAGGGGGACAATGGGGCTGCGGGATATATGGTATTTAATAAATGTTAAAGTAATATGGTCTACAGTTTAACAATGTTTATGATATTTTGCATTGTAAACCACAAAGTAGACAATTTTTAATGGAAGGTAAATGAATGAAGAGGAGAGTTATATAGCAAGGTAAGGGAATAATTCGATGGGAAATTTCCCGCATATTTATGGAATTAAAAAAAAAAAATAAAAAAAAATGTATATCATTAAATTTACCTTATCAACTCTTGAATTAAATTTAGTCATACGCCCCACAGTCCACTGAATTAAAATTAGTCATACGCATCACAACACCTTGAATTAAAATTATCAATGAAACCGACTTTTTTAATTTTTTTCATAAATTTAAAGCAAATATTGTTCATATCATAAGGTCATTATTGGTCCACAAAAGCTCTAAAAGATTATCTTCAAATTCCCTTAATCGCATTTCACATATCTCTTGTAGAATTTTTATAAAAATGGATTTACTAATATTGCCTATGAATTAATATTAGTTATACGCTCCCAAGTACCCCAGGAGAAAAATGTCTGATATTTACAAGAAGTGTGAATAATACCAGGAATTACTGCTTCAAGGATAGCCTGATAAGGTAGTTTAATACCAATATCTTGATATTTTTAAAGCAGTATCAATAATGATATAAAGTCCTTATTTCTACCGATAGGAAAAAATAATTTTATTTTATTTTTTTTTTGTAATTTTACAGAAAATACTGTCCATAGCTTTGCACAATTTTTGGACCATAGAAACCCTAATAAGTAATCAGAGAATTGCCATGTTTACATTTCATATATCTGTTATGAAACGGCTATAAAAATCGAATTACTTACATTACCTATGAATTAAAAGTAGTCATACGCTCCCAAGAACACCCTATAAAATAGCTCATATTTACATAAAGTGCCTATAATTCCTTCAAAAAATAATGCTCCATGTGGGCTGCAAAACGCCCTCTTTAATCTGACAGATTAAACTTTACTACATCAGTTTTTGCAATAACATAAAATTTCCAATTTATTTGTTTGCTCGGGAATTAAGGATAATCATATGCAATAATTTGGAAAATACTACTCCAAGGAAGCCCTAAGAAGTTATTTTAAAGCAAATATAAGGAAAATATAGAAACGACGTCCCACAGTCGAATAGTGATAAAAATACAACTGAGTGCAACTTCTGCGGTGAAGTGGAGAAGAAAATTAATAAAATCCCTTTACATATAACATCTAACTTACTACTAAATATTTCTCAGAAATTAAAATTAGTCATACGCACAAAAACAAGGCTTGTGATATGGAATAAATAGGGCTGATGAAAGTCGGAAAACTTAATATATCATTAAATTATAATATAGCATTAAAATAAATCGAATCATACGCCCCATATCCCATTGAATGAAAATAAATCATACGCCCTATAACCTCTGGAATAACAATTAGTCATACGCCACATAACACCTTGAATCAAAATTAGTCATACGCCCCATAATCACTAGAACTAAATTGTGTATTATTACTCGGTTTAAACTGACACTACATTTCACAAAAAAATAAATAAATAAAAAATTAAAATCCACATGTATAGCTATGAAAAATACTTAAACTA